GCACCAGCGGGGGAAGAAGGCAGGTACGCCCAGGAGGCTTTTCCCTGAGGACGAGGAAGTCCTGAGGGAGCTCGTCTACGAGCACTGCACGATGACCGCAGACCAGCTTGCAGACCACATGAACCTTGAAAAGCTCCGCCGAATCATGATCAGCCTGGAGGAGCAGCTGCCCGCAGAGCAACGGTTGCGGGACGAGGAGAAGGTCTTCCTTGGGCCACTAGACCGTGACAAGTGCCTTGAGAACCCTGCGGTGAAGGAGGTGTATGACAAGACGCACATTGAAGGCACCCGCAGCGTGTATCGCGCGCTGAAGCGAAACATCTTCACCCTAAAGCGAGTGGTTCCAGCTCGAACGACAATGAACAGCGAGGCTAACAAGCAGAAGCGGCTGGCGTTTGCAAAGGAGCTGCACGACCTGCTCCTGGACGACAACGTGTACATCGTCTACATCGACGAGATGCCGTTTTACCTCGCGAGCGGCAGAAACTATGGATGGGCGCCGCGTGGTGATCGCGCCGTGCACGAGGTGCTGCCCATGAGTACCATGTCCTATCGCACACAAGTGGCTATGGCAGTCTCGCACATGCACGGGCTTCTTTACGGCAAGCTCTACCCACCAGAGATGCAAAACACCGGCGGAGATGGGCAGAAGAAGACCAAGAAGGCCCTCAAGGCCAGCTACACGCAGGACCACTTCAAAGACTTCCTCAACAACCTTCTCCACACCCTCTGGCACAAGCGCCAAAACCTTCAACTCAGTGGAACAAAAATCGTGTTTCTCATCGACAGCGCGCCCGAGCACGGAAAGCGAGCGACGGAGGCTGCCACGCAGATGCTGCAGGCCTGCGACAGCTTCCACCTATGGCATGAGTGGATTGCGACCGGTCGGTGCAGCATGACCGTCAAGTTTATTTCCCCCGTATCGCCCACGCTGAATTTGACTGAGTTCTACAACAGATCGTTGCGGCAGAGGGCGAATCACCTCCGCAAGACCCCAGACTTCATTGGCAAGCTGGAGTCCAAAGACATTCCGCGAGGGCAGGTGCAGAAGACGCGTGTGAAGGTGCTGTGCGACATCATCAAGCGGGCAATGGCTGATCTGCAGCGCACTGCTCTCAAGCGGGCAAGCGAGGCGAGAATGCTGGAGGAAGTTCTTCACGTCATTCAGCTCAACGGGTTTCTCGACAAGCACTGGCGACCAGTGCAGCTGAGAAACAACAAGGCTCATTCAACAGAGCTTGCCGACAGCATGGATGGTGATGGTGGTGATGATGATGATGGTGATGATGATGATGATGATAACGGGCACCCCACCGACGTTGATGTTGCTCAAGAGGATCACTCTGCCAATGACGACGACCAAGACGACGATGATGCCGATGATGAATGACACACACACACACACACACACACACACACACACACACACACACACACACACACACACACACACACAAACACACACGCACACGCACACGCGCGTTCACGAGTCACTGTGCGAGTTCCTTTCCCTGCGTTGTTCCCGACACCATGTTTGTGCTTACGTTCGCTTGCTGCCAAACGGCAACGGTTTTTGGATTTGTGGCGGGGAAAATATGGCGCGCTGGTTCTTGTTGTGGCAATGACGAAATCTTAAACTGAGTGGCACACCTCGACGCAATCAATGGTGGTTCTTGGTGCAACTGCACGGGGCGTTCTTATTGTTTGGCATCTCGTTGCTTCTGCTTCTTCCTGCTGTTGTCGTGTGATGATGATGACCGCCGCTCATCACTGGCTGCTGTCTCTCGATCGTCGTCTGCGTCACTTGCACGTCCACCATCATCCTTGAACAGTTGTACAAGAGCCACACGCCACATACATACATAGGCACACGTTCTTGTTACATCCACATCCACATACATCCACGAAACACGCACTTACACAAGATGACGGGGGTGTTGCGGGTTGCATGCTCACGCTGCGTTTTGCCTCGGTTTCTGGCCCATGCAACACCTACAGCGACAACAAACTCAAGAACAACAGCAGCATTGGCAGCAAGGCGATTGAAAACAACCATGGCCACCCGCAAGGAAAGCGATTCCATGGGAACCATGGAAGTCCCCGCAGACAGGTGTGTGTGTGTCTGCGTGTGTCGATGTGTGTACGTGTGTATTTCTCTGTCTCTGTCTGTCTGTCTGTCTGTCTGTCTGTCTGTCTGTCTGTCTGTCTGTCTGTCTGTCTGTCTGTCTGTCTGTCTGTCCCTGCGTGACCATCCCTTTGCACTTGGCGCCGCAATGCCCGTTAACATGGTAGTTTGTGTTGTTGCGAATGCGTAGCCTGTATGGTGCGCAGACTGCCAGATCTCTGATGAACTTTGACATTGGCACCGACATTCTTCCCCGCGCCATGATCCGCGCCCTGGGCGTGCTGAAGCTGGTACGTGGCACACACACACACACACACACACACACACACACACACACACACACACACACTCCCGAGCTGCCTGAAGGTGTGCCGCATGTTTGAGCTTGCGCATGGCCGCCAGCGTTTCCCCCGCCTCATCCCCAGTTTGGTTTTGCTGCTGGGTTGACTGTGTGGTAGTCTGCATGCCGTGCAAACCACGAGCTCGAGCAGCTACCGGCGGACATTGTGCCTGCCATGGAACAGGCGTGCCAGGAGGTAATTGACGGCAAGCACGACGAGCACTTCCCGCTGCGCATCTGGCAGACGGGCTCGGGCACGCAGTCCAACATGAACTCCAACGAGGTCATCGCCAACCGCGCCATCCAGATTCTCGGTACACGCATACATGCACAGGGGGAATGAACACATGCTTGTACGTGCAAGCACCTACACAAGCATGAGGGCATCGTTGTCGTGGTGGCACATGCTTGCGCCAGACTCCAGTGCACGCTTCCCCCTCCCCTCGCATGCTTCACGCTTGAGTGCGGGGTCGGCAGACATAGTGACCGCTGTATGAGCATTCCACTTACATGCACTCTTGGTTTTGTTCGTTCTTTCCTTCCTCGTCCTCACAGGTGGCGAGCTTGGCAGCAAGACGCCCGTGCATCCTAACGATCACGTCAACCGCGCCCAGTCGTCAAACGACACATATCCAACAGCCATGCACATTGCCGCCGCAGAGGTGCGAAAGCTGTATCTGTGCGTGTGTGTGTGCTGTGTTGTCTGTGTCTGTGTGTGTGTGTGTGTGTGTGTGTGTGTGTGTGTGTGTGTGTGTGTGTGTGTGTGTGTGTGTGCTCTTTGGACGTGCACAAACTGGCAAGCAAGCATCAACCCATGCCCCTCCATCAGCTTACCCCACTTATCCACGTGCTTTCCCTGCCAACACGTGTGAACGCGCATGTCGACAGGAGGTGACGCACAAGCTGGTGCCGGCGCTGATGGAGCTGCGTGACGGGCTGGAGGCAAAGCGTGCCGAGTTCAAGGACATTGTCAAGTGCGGACGCACCCACCTCATGGACGCAACGCCGCTCACCCTTGGTACAATGATGATGATGATGATGATGATGATGATGATGATGATGATGATGATGATGATGATGATGATGATGATGATGATGATGATGATGATGATGATGATGACGATGATGATGATGATGATGATGATGATGATGATGATGATGATGATGATGATGATGATGATGATGATGATGATGATGATCGTGCGGTTGTTCGTTGTTCAATACCTTCGTCTCACTCCAGTTTCACCACCACCCTCCCCCTCCACCACACACACACACACACACACACCTCAGGCCAAGAGTTCTCTGGCTACGTGTACCAGCTTGACCAGGCGCTGGCCCGCGTGCAGTCTGCCCTTCCGCATGTGTACGAGCTCGCCATCGGCGGCACTGCCGTCGGTACGGGGCTCAACACCCACCCGCAGTTTGGCGACAAGGTGCGTGCGTGTAGTTGTGCCTGTCTGTGTGTCTGTGTGTCTGTGTGTCTGTGTGTTTGTGTGTTTGCCTGCACCTCCGTGTGTCACCTGCTTGCAAGTAACTTAACAAACCCAACATGCCGTGGTGCGTGCCAGGTTGCCAAGCACGTGGCTGCCATCACAAGCCTCCCCTTCAAGACATCGCCAAACCGCTTCGCAAGCCTCGCAGGTGTGTGTGTGTGTGTGTGTGTGTGTGTGTGTGTGTGTGTGTGTGTGTGTGTGTGTGTGTGTGTGTGTGTGTGTGAGGCGTGTTTCCTTGTTGAACGTTTGCAGTCACGACTGTCTCTCCGTCATCCTTCCCCCGATGTTCTCGTACCCGCTCACACTCCTCTCTGACACACACACATACACACATACGCACACTCCCTTCCTCCTCGTCCTGTGCACGCCTCAACACGCCTCTCTTCCTCCCACTCTGAACACCAGCGCACGATCCGCTCGTTGCACTGTCGTCGCAGATGAAGAACGCAGCTGTAGCCATCATGAAGATTGCAAACGACATCCGCCTCCTCGGCTCCGGCCCGCGCTGCGGCCTTGGCGAAATCCTGTACGCCACTTGCCCCATGCTTGCTGCATGACTGTATGTGTGTGTATGTGTGTGTGTCTGTCTGTGTCTGTCTGTGTCTGTCTGTGTCTATGCCTACGCTGCTGCTTGTGGCACTGTCCTGTCCTCCACTGTGTTTGTGCCCGTGGATGCCCCCATGCATTTCCCCTACTTTTCAAACCATGAGTTGTCGAATCCGCGTTCACGCTGCCCCACCGTCTGACCATCTCTCCCCCCCCCCTTACCCTCACCACCACCACCACCACCACCACCACCACCACCTGAACGCTGCCAGCCTGCCTGCCAACGAGCCCGGGAGCAGCATCATGCCTGGGAAGGTGAACCCGACGCAGTGCGAGGCCATCACGATGGTGTGCTGCCAGGTCATTGGCAACGACGCTGCCGTCACCGCTGGCGGTATGCAGGGGCACCTCGAACTCAACGTCTTCAAGCCGATGATCATCCACAACGTCCTCCACTCCTGTACGCCAGCGCTTGTGCATGTGCATGCGTGTGTGTGTGTGTCTGTGTATGTGCATGCGTGTGTGTGTGTCTGTGCATGTGCGTGCGTGCGTGCGTTTGTGTGTGTGTGTGCGTGCGTGTCCGTGCGTGTGTGTGTACATAACTGCGTCTGTGTGGACTTGTTTACTTGTGTAGTTAATGCCTGCCCCTCTCACCGCGCCACGTCCCTACGTCCCCACGTTGCACCGTTGCAACACATGTCACCATGATCCCCTCCGCCTCTTCGTGTTCTCCCCTCCCTCGTCCTATCTGCCAAATAGGCACGCTGCTGTCTGATTCGTGCCGTGCGTTTACGGAGCGGTGTGTTGTTGGCATTGAGGCGAACCAGGAGGCCATCAGCGCACACCTCCGCAACTCTCTCATGCTCGTCACTGCCCTCAACCCGCACATCGGCTACGACAAGGGAGCGTGAGTACCGGGAGTTGTGCGATGTGTGTGTGTGTGTGTCTGTATGAGCGTGCGTCTGTCTGTGTGTTTGTGTGTATGTGTGTGCACGTGTGTGTATGTCTTGTGTGTGTGATGCACTCTTTGCTACTTCTCTGCGCTTTCTATCTCTTATTCCTCCCACATCCCACATCCCCGTCCCTCCTCCCCCCCCCTCCCATGTCCCTCCCTCCCTCCGACTGACTTCAAACTCACGTTTGGACTCCTCCCACCTGCTGTGCCTACAGTGAGGTTGCGAAAAAGGCGCACAAGGAAGGCACGACCCTCAAGCAGGCTGCGCTTGCGCTTGGCGTGGTCACCGAGGAGCAGTTTGATGCCATTGTCGACCCGGCAAAGATGACCGGCCCCATGGCCTAACAAAGCAAGGGGACGAGGCCACGCACACACGCATGCACGACTGCACGCACGTACGTACGCACGATTGCATGGTTTACGTTGTTACATGCACGCATGCAGGGTGTTTGTTGAAATGTGCGTGGATTCACACGTACTTGTGCTTGCGGTACGGCATAAATCAAACGTGAATGCTTGCTTGCATGAGAGGATGTCTGTGCTGCTAGTGATGAGGAAGTGCGTGCACAGCACACAAACACACACGCACACACACACACACACACACACACACACACACACACACACACACACACACACACACACACACACACACACACACACACACACACACACACACACACACACACACACACACACACACACAAATCACATTTTGAATTTCCCGGACCGTATGCAACGGGCCCAATCCGGCGCGCCAAACAGAAGCAGATTATTGCTTCTGCGCAACCCCCACAATAAAAAAATAATCTATCTTTGTGAGTGCGTGTTCGTTTCCCGCCAAGCGTTCAAGAACTCACACAAGCAAGCAAGCAGTGAGAGGCACAACACAACAACACAACACGGCGAGCGCGCCTCCTTGCCCTTCCTTCCTGCTGGTTCGTTGTTGTTTTGCTGCGCTGTTTCGTGTATGTGTGGAGCGCGCCCTGGCTGCCTGTGCTGCTTGTTGCTGTTTGATGTAGTCAGATGAGGGTGAGCTGAGGGTGAGCTGAGGGCTAAGGTTGGACCCTTGCTGCCAGCCTCGTACATGGTGTTCTTTGCTGCTGGACTTTGATTGCGTGTTTGCACCTGCTTGTGTTGTGCGTGCATTCGTGGTTTCATGGTTTGTTGACGTGCGTGCTTTCCTGCAGGAACGCGAACCACCACCCACCTCTTCCTCTACCTCCTCCACCCCACTACCCTTGACGTCCTCTTGCCCGGCGTTTTGGCTTGGCACAAAACTTACTTGCACATTCGACCTTGCTTTCCTTTGAGCGCGCCGCTGTCCTTCCCATCCTTCCCACCTTGGTGAGTCGAGTCGCTGATTGTGTGTCGAGGGAGCGCAGGTTCCCATCGGCTGCAGTTTCGATGCATTGGAAATCATGCATGCCCCCATGCACGCACAGCATCACCACCACACTTTGTTGACATTGCACGATCCCCTTGTCCCCCAACGCTCCATCAGTGCATGACATGCACCGCGATTCCGAGCGCGGCTTGGGCTGGCCCAAACTCACATCACTTCTTTCCCCTTTTGTCTGACGACACATGCCACAACACCGCACCACGCTTCCACCACCATCATCGTCACCATCATCCCCACCCACTCTCGCCAGCGCTGCAGAAGACGCGCACACGTGGGGTACACGAACGGGCACGCCAGCGCAGGTGTTGCAAAGGCAGCATCTAGCAACCCCCTGGTTTCCTGCTCCGTTTAGTTACCGTGACACACCGTTACCCATCGACACATCATGACCGGCCACTCCTCTGGTCGAAAGGGCCAAGTGGTAGGTTCCAATGCGATGCCTGGCAAACCAACAACAGGAGCGCCGCGCCAATGCTGTCATGGAACAATGTCAGCGTGTCGTCAGTTGCGAGCTGCTTGTAACCACGGGTCTAATGCAGTCCTCACCACTTGCATTGCCATGTGCGCTGCTTGCCTTGTTGTTTTGTTTGTCACCTCGACAGCCCATTATCAAAGGCGCTTGGACTAAGAAGGTGAGCAAGCTGCATTGGACAGGGTGGATGCGCTTGGCGTTCAGGTTGTGCGCATGCCCGTGCCGACGCATGCATGACATGTCCCTGTTTTCACGACGAATGCATGTGCACGTGTGTGTGTTGCAGGAGGACGACAAAGTACGAGAGTTGGTGAAGAAACATGGTGCAAAACACTGGTCCCTCATCGCCAAGGAACTGCCAGGCCGTGTCGGCAAGCAGTGCCGTGAGAGGTGAGCTTTGTATGCGTGTGTGTGTATTGTGTGTGTGTGTGTGTGTGTTGGAGCGAGAGACAAGTGGGCTGGATTGTGTCGAGCACTTGATGTGAGTGTGCATGCATGTGGTGCGACACCTGAAGAGGAGGGTGACTCACCTCTTTGCCAAATGGTACGCTTCTCGACAGATGGCACAATCACCTCAAACCATCCATCAAGAAAGGGCCGTGGACACAGGAGGAGGACGACATCCTGCGACGCGCCCACGCCGAGCTCGGCAACAAGTGGGCGGAGATTGCAAAACGCCTTCCCGGCAGGTAATTTGCGCGCGTGTTTCTCTCTGTATCTGTGCAGACAGGCTGGAAGTGTCTTCAGACACGGTGCCGCTTTGTGTGGACGTCATGAGAGTGCGTGGGTTGCTTGTGCTGTTGTCCATTTGCGCTCACCATGAGACTGCGCCACGATTGCCTGCACATCGTCGCAGAACGGACAACAACGTCAAGAACCGCTGGAATTCAACAATGCGCAAGCATGGACAGAAAAAATCATCATCATCAGAGGTGTGTGTGCACAACTGCCGTGTTTTCTGATCTGCTGGTGCTCTTGTACGTGCAATGTGTAACGACGCGTTGGTTTGCACATCTCACCGCTGTATGTGTGTGTGTGTGTGTGTTTGCGACCCCACAGCGCTCTGGCCGATCGTCCAAGGGCAAAGGCTCACACGGTACTGCGCTCTTTTTCCTCTGGTTGCTGTCCTGGCCTGCCGCTGGGCTTGCACGCCTGTATCCACACATGCGCTGTGTCACATGATTCACACAACCCAACGACAAGTACAAACGTTTCTCTCTCATATGCACACACACTCTCTCTCAAACGTACACATGCACACACTGATGCACACACTGACACGCACACACTGATACACACACGTACACACACACACTTACACTTTCTCTCATTTACGCATCCACGACAATCACGGAGCAGACAAGCGCCGACCGTCTGCGCTGGTGAACCGAATGACAGCGACCGCACAGGCCAACGCATCGCCGTCACCAGCATCAACAGCAACACAAGCGGTGGGCGCGTCGTCGTTGTCGTCGCCACACACTTCCGGCATGACCCAGTCTGGTGGTGCCGGTCTGTCCCTGCTCGGCGGGCAGTTTCTCTCTGCAGATGTGTACAGTCTCCCGCACGACCCGGGCCCAGATGCGCCAACACCCACAGCGCTGTATCCGCGCGTTAACGCGTTTGACCCGTTTCTACAGGGCCACCACCACCATCATCACAACAGCACCCAGCAACAACAGCAACAGCAGCAGCAGCAGCAACAACAACAACAACAGGAGGCGCAATCACGTCGACTGCAACCACGTGACATCTACAGCTTGCACACGCCGCAGTCCCACCACCAACAACAACACCAACTGCAACAACAGCCGTCGCACGTGTATGCGCGACCCGGCGTTCTTTACAAGGACGATGGGGTTGACGACGCGACGTTCTCCGACCACTCGCCATCGCAGCAGCCCGTGAGCGCAGAGGACATGATGGCGGTGGCCCACAGGCCGCACAAGCACCGCACCAGGCACCGCAGCCGTGCGCGCCGCGCGCATGATCAGCGACGCCGCCATGATGGTGGTCGTAGGGACGACAGTGAACACGATGATGATGACGACAATGATGGCGGTAGCGGTGATGATTGTGACAACGGAGACGCCGTGGACGGCAGCAACCACGACAGGCATGTGCAGAGCGGTTGTGGCGAGGGCGATGATGCAACAACAGCAGTAGGTAGTGATGGAAGCACGTCCATTGCACACCAGCAGCATGTGCTGTACTCGCCGCCTGTTGCCGGATTTGATCCGCTGTCTGCAGCCACCAACGCGTCACCGCTGCCATCCCGCCTCCGTGACGCTGCCGTGAGTACCGTCATCGTTTGTGGTGGTGGTGGTGGTGTTTGGTGTTTGGTATGCAGGAGTGAAGGAGTATAGCATGGGTCTTGGGTGTGTGTGTGTGTGTGTGTGTGTGTGTGTGTGTGTGTGTGTGTGTGTGTGTGATCTGGAGTACCCGTTGGTTCGCACGCTGACTTACATCGTGAATTTTTATGTGTTTGTGGACTGTGATGCCGCTGCCCAGGCGAATGCCGATGGTCAAAGCGACGAGGCGCCGTAAGTTTGGGCATATACCGCATGCAATGCTCTGCTCAACCATCCACGCACACTCGCCCATACATACAAACTGCAACGTGTGCGGGCTGGCATGGTCCCGCCATTCCTCACCACCACCACCACCACCACCACCACCAATTATCACCACGACCATCATTATCGTTGATGCGTGGAGCAGGGCGCCGTCGCTGTCTGCCACGCCCATGCGTTATCGTCGCCCCATCCTCTTCACCCCGACACACGACCCGCTCGCAGGCGGCGTCGCAAGATGTACGCACACGCCTGCATCTGCCAACTTGCTGCTCGCGTTGTAGTGTGTGTCGTGTGTGACACTTGTTCTTTGTTTGTGTGTTCGTTTGCTTGTACTTGCTTTGATCGCGGCCTTTACTTGAGCCCTTCGCGTGGCCTGGCCTTGCTTGGAATTGTCGATGTCTCACCTCGGTTTTACGGTCTTGGCGACTGCAAACAACACCAGGGGACGACTCGCCTGTCAGAATCACGCCGAGAAAAGCCCGCGTGCAGTGAGTTTCCCCCGTTTCGTCTCCTGCATGCACACGCTCACTCACTTACACACACACACTCTCTCTCTCTCTCTCTCTCACACACACACACACACACTCTCTCTCTCTCTCACACACACACTCTCTCTCACCCCCTCATTCACTCACTCACCTACACACCAACCCACTGTGTGTGTGCAGCGAGCCGGCGCTGACGCTGCCGCGGACGCGCATCCAACCAAAACCGCTGCCGGTCCTGCCGGACCCAACGTCCCCCTGTGCATCTCCACTCGCCCTCATGTCCCCGGACAGGCTCGCCCGCGACGTACTCCTCCTCGACACAATCAGGACGTCGGCAGCGCCCACCGCTGCTGTTGGCGTTAGTGGTGCTGGGAATGGCACCAGTGCAGCGGACCAGTTGCCCACCTCGCCCCGCATGGGCAGAATGACAGCGATGACAGCAGCAGCAGCAGCGGTGAGCGGCCGCAGCAGAGGAACCGCCAGCGCAGACAGCCGGAGCGGTGGCAGCGGTGGCAGCAGCGTTGCCCATGCCAGTGCAGTGCCGCGGCAGATTTCGCAGGCGATGATGGCGCGGGCGCAGCAAAGCCATTTGGCGTCGCCGTCCCGCTACTTCTCGTTCCCGACAGTCGCCGCAGAACCAGCAAGGGCGCCACCACCAGCAGCCACCACCAGCAGCAACAGCAGCCGGCAGCGTGACCATGCGAAGGATGACGACAATGCTGATGATGATGATGATGATGATGATGATGATGATGATGATGATGATGATGATGATGATGATGATGATGATGAGAGAGAGAACGAGGACACGGCTGCGAGCACCGCCATGGAGACGGAGGCTGATGACGCGCAAGAGACCGAGATGCGCGGTGACACCGCGGCCCCGTCCAGTACCACCACAACCAGCACAGCTACCACAACGGCGGCCACTGCGAGTGCGCCTGCGACAGTCTTGTCTTCGAAGAAGACGCGAGCTGCGGTTGCGCGCAAGGGAGCGGTTGCGGCGGGCCGGAGCGACAAGGCGCCTATGTCATCGCCGCAGACGCCGTCACACCGCGCTGCAGCACGCGCACATGCACACGGGACACGCGCGCAGGAGACGCCGTCAACCTCGGACGCGTTTGGATCCAGGATTGGCCGGTCCACCAAGGTGATGATGGTGATTGTGGTGATGATGTTGTTGTTGTTGTTGCTGTTGTTGTTGTTGTTGTTGTTGTTGTTGTGTGCTGCTTCTTTGAAGGCAGACGAACATTCTTGACACATGCGCGTACGTGCGCGTCCGCTTTACGATCGTCTCGCCCCTTGAACCCCCTCCCCCTCCGCCTCTATTATTTCTTGCACTCTTCTCACATGCACAATTACATATTCTTCCCATGCGCACAGATGTCGCTGCTTGCCAAGTTTGGTGCGTCGGCGGCGACAAGCGGTGTGGAATGGAAGCACGGCCTCGCGTCACTTGACCAGAACTCAAAGCGCCCAAAGGTACAGCGGTTACATGTACATGTGTGTGTTGATGGCTGTTTGGGTTGATGAATCGACATCACTGATGGATAGGCTCACGTACCGACATGCATGAGCATGCGTGCGTGTCTGGTGAAGCTTGTGCGCATGCACTCATCACCGTCATGACACACCCACACCATCCACGCCACCAATTTGCCACCACCTTTCCTCAATCAGGTTGCGGCATCGCCCACGCGTCGTGCTGCCCAGCATCGCACGTGAATGCAAATGCAATTCAGCTGCATAGACACCATCAAAGTGCATGCTTTTCTGTCCACCACTGGCTGGTCCGGGGAACAGCCGTGCCCATTTGCGTTGATTTTTGTTGGGGTGGAGCCATCCATTTTTCCTTTCTTCACCAAACGCGTTTTGTGTGGTTTTGAAGTATGACTGCGTTTGCACTTTCTACCATCATTGCGTAGTGCATCCCTTTTGTTGTCACTTGCTCGCCGATGAGTTGCGCCTGATTTCATACTCCAAATGCATTCGTTTATTCTTGGCACCGCCCAACCGGCCCCCTTGTCAGCATCTTTGTTCCTTCATGCGCCTGCGTCTGCTTTCTCTTTCTTTGCTTTCGCTTCCACCATGCCTTTCTTCCCTTCTTTTTTCTTTCTTTCTGTTCACTGCCTCCTAATTGTATATGCGGCGCGCATGCCTATGTGAATGGTTTGTGTCTGTGTGTGTGTGTGTGTGTCTGTCTGTCTGTCACTTTAATGTTGCGTCGATGGCTGTGTTGTGTATTTTGTGGTGTGTGCGCGTTTTCTTGTTTTTCAGCCTTGGTGCCAGCACGCACAACCGCTGCTTGCTGTTGCTGCCCTTGCTTTCTGCTGTTCAATGTCACCGCTCTTGTTCCTTTTGTATGCGGTGCTGCTGTGCGCTGCTTTGTTCATGCAGCGCGCAAACCAGGGTGCGATTGTTTTAACACCCATGTCATGCCACACATGCCGTATGTGAGCGTGCACCCCCGGCTTTGCCCGTGCAACACACGAGTTTTCGATGCACATCAATGCCTGTTGTCTTCTTCATCCATTTTTTGTACCTGCACACCCCACCTGCTTTCCGTTCCTCTGTTCCTAATGACACATGCAATGACAATGGCCCGACGTGAAGGCACCAATGGAGACGTGTGTGTGGGGGGGGGGGCAAAACGCGACGGCGGGGTGTCATGGGTTGTTTAATGGGCGATTTATTGCAAGCAATCGCTTGCAGAAGAGGCGGGTTGTGTGTTTGCGTGCGAGAGAAACTCGAAATCCCGAGCATGCAACACGAAAGCAACCGCACCGAGAAACAAAAGGCACGCTCACAGCACATAAATTGAACCAACCAACCCACAACAGCAAGCCTTCATCCAAAGTCACAAAGAAAAACCACAAGTACACGCAAGGCGTGGTGATGTGTGCACATGTGTAGGTGTGCATTTGTATGTGTGTATGCGTGCGTCCGTACCGGTGTGTGTGTGTGTGTATGTGTATGTGTGTGTAAACCAGTGTGTGTGTGTGTGTGTGTGTGCCTATGGCTCGGGCCCGACGTAGCCCTTGCCGCGGAAGAGGATTCGGCAACGGACATTTGAGTCGAGGGCCTCAAGCTCCGACTTGACCTGCTCAATGTGGTCAGCCTCAAGGTCAACAACCAGGTACCTGTTGGGTCGAGGGTGGGGGCACGCATGGAACAAGTTGGGCATTGGGGTTAAGGGGGTGAGGAGGAGGAAAGAGATGCACGTGACGTGCTTGAATGTGTGTGAAACTTGGTAGCGGGGACAAATTCAGCAGATACACACATACACACATGTCCACACACATGTCCACACACATGTCCACACACATGCACACACACACATGTCCACACACACACACACACATGTACATGCACACACCCGATGCGTTCGGACGTCTCGAGCTGTTGGGAGGAGATGTTTGCGATGGAGAGGATCCTGTTGATGTCACGAAGGACACCGGGGGTGTTGATGTGGAACGACAGCACGCGCGACTGGCCAGGCTGCAGCTTGCGTGTCACATTCACTTCGGGCACGTTGACGGCAGAGAGGGTGGATCCGTGGTTGATGTAGGCAATGAGCTTGCTCGCCACCTCCCGACCAATGCTGGCCTGGGCCTCCTCCGTCGACCCGCCAATGTGCGGGGTGAGGATGGTGTTGGGGCAGCCCTGCAGGCACACGGCCCAGTCCTTGGTGTGGCCGGCGGGCTCCGAGGGAAACACGTCAAAGGCAGCGCCGGCGAGATGGCCAGAGCGCAGCGCAGCAGCAGCCGCCTCAATGTCGACCACAGACCCGCGGGCATAGTTGATGAGGTAGCTCCCGGCTTTCATCTGTTGCAGGGGGGTGGTTGTGTGAATCGGCGTGTGTTGGCGTGTTGTGAAGGAGGGGAGGGTGATGCAAATGGATTTTGCACCCACATGCATGTCAACGAGCGTGTCGCAACACCAAACACACAATGTACAAAAAGCACCCAACGCACACACACGCACACACGCACACACACACGCACACACGCACACACGCACGCACACACGCACACACACACACACGCACACACACACACACACACACACACACACCTGTGCGATGCGCTCTGCGTTCATGAGGTTCTTGGTGGACTCGTCTGCGGGGACGTGGAGGGAGACAAAGTCAGACACTTCCAGCAGCTCCTCCATAGTGGGCACCTGGGATGCGTTGCCAAGACACAGCTTGGGCTCAATGTCGTAGAAGATGACACGCATGCCCATGGCCTCTGCCAGCACGGACAGCTGCGAGCCAACGTGACCATAGCCAACAACGCCAAGCGTCTTCCCGCGCACTTCGTAGCACCTGCAACAACATCCAGCAACAAAGCAGTGAGCGTGTGAACAACAATACCCACGTGTGTGGAGGGGAGGGGAGGGGGGCATGAGTCGACCGTTCTCGTTGCATGGCTGTGAGCTGTGTGCGTGTGCATGTCTGAGTAGGGGTTGGGCTCCCTGTTTTGGGGGAAAGAGACGAGGATGGAACGTGGTTGATACGCCGACTCACTACTCACTCACTACCTTGCCTTCATCTGGCTCCACTTGATGGTTGCCACAACGAACTTCTGCCTCCTGTGCACTGACCGTCACAGCCACCTCCTGCTCCCCTCATCCTGTGACAATCACCTCAGTTCCTCCCGGTCACTTCACTTCACGGCTGCCTCCCGCCTTCCCTTTCCTCATCGTTCACTCCCCTGGACTTTTCTCGAACCCCCTGTTCCCCCCCCCCCAATTCAAGCCCGCAGCGTGCGTGTGCGTACTGACCCGACTGAGCGCTTGTTCCATTCACCGGCGTGCATCTCCTTGTTGCGGTCGCTGGCCTGGCGCGCAAGCGTGATGATGTTGGCGATGACCAGCTCGGAGACGCTGCGCGTGTTAGCGTAGGGTGCGTTAAAGACGGGGATGCCCTTGGTGGCTGCCAGCTTGAGGTCGGTTTGGTCGGTTCCAATGCAGAAGCAGCCGACGGCGACGAGCTTGTCCGCCGCCTCCAGAACGCGCGATGTGAGCTTGGTCTTGCTTCTCACACCGATGATGTGCACGCCCTTCATGGCCTCAATCAGGTCGTCCTCGCCGTACTTCACCTGTGATTGGACGACATGGGATGTGAGAAGAGGGGGGTAGGTAGGTAGGCGCACAGCAGGTGACGAAGGTGATGAGCAGCAGCAGCGGTAGCAAGTCGCAGGTACAGTCGCCGTCATACGTCACACACAGTGTCCCCACCAGGATCACGACGCAAGCAAGCAAGCAAGCAAGCAGCAACAGCCATAGAAAGCACAGTGGACTCACAGCCTGCTTGACGGTGTAGCCTTCAGCCTCGAATGTCTTGACAGCATCTTGGCTGATCTTCTCCATCAGCAGCACGGTGATGCGAGAAGGGTGAATGCGGTCAAGGTTCGCCGACGACATGGTGCTGTCTGCTTCTCTTGGCTCTGTTGAGGGTGCGTGGCGGTGATGAGCAGTCGATGCTGAGTGTGGAAAATGAGCCGTTGCTGTTGTTGTTTGCCGTCTGCTGTTAGTGGTGTGTTGGTGGTGCGTTGATGCGACATGACACACGACAGACACACACACCACAGTGTTCATTTCATGCGTGGTGCGAACGCAAAAAACAACAACAACAACCACACAAACAAACAAAAGCAGCCACTTCTTGCGTTGTTTGTCGTGCCACCGCAGCTGTGACACGTACGCATGGATGTTGTTTATGTGTTGGTGGTTGGTTAGTTGGTTGGCCAAAGAGGTGTTGCTTCTGCTGCTGCTGCTGCCTTCTTCGTTCGTTCAGTGGCGCGGACGAGTGTCCGGTGGCAACGTCATTGGGAAGTCATCCATCGCTGCACACAACCTGTGATTCCAGTGATTCGATGTACATGTAATGAACCCTTTTCGACAATCTGCAGGCATCTTCATATATTTTTCGTGGATGAATCTATGACTCGCACATAACCGAGAGGCAATGCCTGACTATCCACCACACCCAACAATTTGGGTTGGTGCTTTTTTTGGGTATTTTTTTTTCTTGTCGTGTCTGTTTTTGGCCCCTCCCCCTCCTCCTCTCTTCTGTCTTCTTTGGCAGCAGACCACCACGGCGCCGTCGCCAAACAACACAACTTGCTTGCTTGCTTGTTTCCTTCTGGCTTGCCTGGTGCACACTCAGCACACTCAGCACACTCTCTGCACACGAACCTCGGAGACAGGACTTCCTCTCTCTCTCTCTCTCTCCTCTTGTCTGTTTTTCTTCCCACAGCTGCTACTTTGCAGTGACTTGCACAGCACCCCGTCTTGTCATTTTATTTGTTGCAGTCGCTGGGGTAATCACAACGACACACAAACAAACACAGCACACCACACACACACACACACACACACACAAGACCATCATGACAGAGTACCGGCTCGTCGTTGTTGGAAGTGCGTGCCGCTGTGCTGTGCCTTGGGGCTTGATGAGAGGGGAACGCTTGCTGTCGCGTGCACACTGCGCGCATGCTGTCTGCTGTGTGTTTGGTGTGGGTGGGTGTGAGATGTGGTGAGGAAAGACAGTCGTTTGTGATGTGATGACGGAAGAGAAGATGCGGGAGAGGCATCGCCATCGATGTGATTGCGGCAGGATAGCACTCAACCGCAATGCTCACTTGTATGCGTGGCTTGTTTCCGTTGTTTCTGTGCGTGTGCTTGTGCGTGTGCAGCTGGTGGCGTGGGAAAGTCTGCGCTTACCATCCAGCTCATCCAACAACAGTAAGTGATGGACGACAGAGAGAGAGAGTGTGTGTGTGTGTGTGTGTGGAAACACGAGAGTGCTGGTGTGCCGTCTTGCTTGAATGTCTGCGTCGAATCGTGGGCTTTGGTCACCGCCACTGTCATCTCAATCTCATGTGTTGTTTGTGATGACCTCACCCTCCTGCGTCCAGCTTCGTCACCGAGTATGATCCAACCATCGGTATGTCATGCCGCCATGAGGCCACGCCATGATGCCCATGTGCATGCATTTGAATATGAATGCGAATCACTGTCTGCAGAGCAGCCGTGCTGTGGCTGCTTGCCCTTGTCACATGTGGAACGGAGAACTCACCATCATGTACCCATGC